AAGGCTCGGGAAACTGCGCAACTGTCAACTGACAGGAGAGGCGGGCCCAAGAGCCAGAGCTCAACCCCCGCAAGCACAACGAGGCAAGCACCCCACCAAAAGTGAGAACCAGCACTAGGCCAACAGAAGCGCCAGACAAGGCAACCTCACCTGCAGAGCACACACACGACCGTGCCACAACACAGGCGAGCCAAGTAACATACTAAGAGCAGCGCTAAAGGTGTGCCCGAAGCCATGCATACTCGAGGCAGTAGGCACAGTATGCACCCTTACCTGAATAAAATGCGAGGTTGAAGGAGAAAGATGGCCAGAGGTGCGCGCCCTGCAGAAGACGAAGCAGTACAGAGGAAGAACAAAGTGACACCCCCAGATATAAATCCAAAACATCCTCAGCATCCAGAGGGCCCCGACTGGAGGGAGAAACGAGCAAGAAGCCGTAGAAAACCACGAGAAACGGCGCGAACACACGAGCATACCGCCCGTAAACAAAACGCACACCGCGGCCCCAGCACACGAGGTACGAAACGCACCACCGGTCCACCGGGAGGCATGGCTCGTACACCAGGCGGACACACAAATCGTACACACAACGTACAGACATTGTACAAACACCAGGAAGGCGTGCGGAACGAAGACAAAATACGCCGAAACTGGAAGTAGAGACGACACGAAAACAAAACAAGGCGAAAACGAAGCGAAAGAAAACAGATGATGGAAGGGGACCAACAAGGCCGACAAAAGACCCGATGGAAACCACATCCAAAATCAACAGACGTTCCAACAATATTGGAAGGTACGAAGAGATTCGCGAACCAACGAAAACCATGACAAGCACCCCTGACCACGGAACATGCAGGGCCAACGATACGAAGCGGTTTAGGCATTATGTACTAGGTCAATATAGAAATCCATCAATGTTTGTTTCACACCTTGTACGGATGTACCTTACCTGAACTCTTTTTTTTTTTTTTTTTGTGAACAGCATCGCGACATAGGAGCAAAAAGGGTAAGGAAAAGGGGGTGAAACACACCCCCAGGAACAACGGGACCGACAAACCCGAAGGAACACGGAACCGAACCCAGGGAGGGGTATACCCGAAAACAACAGGAACACAGAGGGACGGAACAACCCCACTCTGAGGAACTGCCAGCCCCACACCAAAGGTACAAGGACCCAAGAGGGGCAAACGGGGCCGAGGCCCCCCAGGTAACCCCTCCCTAACCCCGGGAACCTCTACGGCATGACCCAGGGCCGAGCCGCACCCCCAAAGCCCCAGCTTAACAAGGAAAAGCCGGGGCAGCCGTGCAAACACTAATGAAGGGAGCCCACTGGTCAGACCCATACTGCACGGCAGGAGGAACCGACTCGAATGCCTCCGCCGCCACCCCGGAAGAGAAAAACCCCCGAGACCGCCCGAGTCTCAACCCAACCAGACCCCGCCCCAACCCCGAAACCCTCCTATGGTTCGGAGCAGGAAGCAAGGGAGGAAGTGAGTAGAACAGAAGGGGGAGGAACAAGAAGCGGAAGGAGCCAGAGCCGAAGCGACCCCCACCCCCAAGTCCAGACTCCATCCACCAAAACGGGGCAGCCTCGGGGCATCTGGGGCTGCAAACCAAGAGCGTTGCAGCAACACACACACAGCAAGCAACGCCGCAGCCGCCTGCACCCGATTATCAAGACCAGTGGCCTGGGTGAAGGAGAGCGCGTACCGACAACAATCATCGGACGACTCCAGGTCACAAAAACAAGGACCCAACAGGCAGCATGGCGGAGGCACAACCGGTGAGAGTCACCCTGAGACAAGGGGACAGATCAACCGTCAAACTCGCAGGACGCGAGGGGGACTCCGGGGACACACCTAGAGTACCACGGAGCCCCCGTAGGGTTTCCCAGGGCCCTTAGCCTTTGGTATACGCTAAGGGAAGCCCAGGCAGGGTACCGCAAACCGGCGCCCAAATCTACCAACAAACTGCTAAAGCTGAACCCCCGGGACGTGTCCACTCACGAGGGCCAAGCGGGGAGTACCACCAACAGAAGAATTCGAAAGAAATTCACCTAGAACAGGAAAGAGGGACCATAGTAAAAGCAGACCCCCACCAGGCAAAAACAAAAACAGAAGAAAAACCCCGCAAGAGGACAACGTACCCAGGCGGAACAGAGCCGGCCGCTGTTAATGGTGAAAACTAGCTGTGCAGTACCCCGCGCCCCTGCCAGTGACGAAAACTACCACCTACCCAGAGACAAACCAAGGCATCAAAACCCCAGCCGACTCCAAGGGCGGCCCAGTACCGAGCAGTAAAGGACACAGCGGAGGTAGAACCCAAGGTGACTTGTGGAAGGTGGCCCCAAGCCCCAAGGGCAGTACTTACAGGGCACCTAGGGAAGATAACCCTAGGCACATGCAGCCTGAGTACAGTGGTACCTCGGAATGCGATTGTCCCTGTATGCGAGGTTTTCGGAAGGCGAGGTGTATTTACTCCAAAAATTTGTCTCAGAAGGCGAGGGTTACTTCGGGAGGCGAGTTTGGACGCGAGTTTGTTGATACGCGTACAGCCGACCTAGCGCGTTCAACGCCCCTCCGCCCCTCAGTTTATTATTGTCTTGCGCTCAGTGACTACCCCCACATCAATTCTTCTCGCGGATTTTCAGTGTTTTGTTGGATTTTTGGTGATTTGTCTATACAATTTGTTATTATATATCTCACCATGGGTCCCAAGAAAGCCAGTGGTAAGGATAAAGGCCAGAAAGCTCATGTGAGGATGACAATAGAGGAGAAACAAGAGATCATTCGGAAGCATGAGAACGGTACACGTGTTGTTGAACTTTGTAGGCAGTACAACAAAGCCACATCAATATGCACTATACTTAAGAAGAAAAATAAGATTATGGGTGCTAAAGTGGCAAAAGGAGTAAGAACATTAACGGCACAAAGACCACAAATACTTGAAGAAGTGGAAAAGTTGTTATTAATTTGGATACACGACAAGGAGTTGAGGGGTGATAGTGTTTCGGAGGCCATTATTTGTGAGAAAGCCAGGGTGTTGCACGAAGACCTTCTAAAGAATACCCCTGCAACGAGTGATGCAGATAAGAAAGAGTTTAAGGCAAGCAGGGGCTGGTTTGAAAAATTTAGAAAGAGAAGTGGTATCCATAGTGTTACAAGGCATGGGGTTATGTGATGTGATTATGGAAGGGGACTCCCCTTCCAAACAGTAACTCCTCTCCTCCTCCCCCCTCCTCACCATCTTCCATACGCCTACAGCACTCGACAGCAAGGTAAGTAATAACTGGAACACAGTTTTGTAGGTTTATTTAGATGAATTAGGTAAATTAGGTATAAAAATTTAGTTTGATGTGGGGTTTTTGGGGTAGTCAGGAACGGATTAATTCATTTCCCTTTATTTCTTATGGGGAAATTAACTTCGGAATGCGAGTTTTCGGAAGGCGAGGCGTCTCCAGGAACGGATTAAACTCTTATTCTGAGGTATGCCTGTACCATGGAATCTTACTCCTGGCTCACACCCCACCGGTAGAGACAGTCCACACCACAAGGCACAGAACTGAAACAAAAACCGGAGCCAGAGGCACTCGACCAGCCAGTAATACCATCAGCCAAGAACTGCCAGTTGGATCGCCGGCGTGGAGGGTCTGGGGCTCCCCCTTCCCCCTCTCGGGGAGGGGAGGGGGTTGCGCAGACGGTGGCGCGGCGACGTGATGACGTCATGCTAGTTTGATAATTTTGTTTGGGGAGTTCTGTCCACTTGTTCGGCTTTCGGTAGCAATAATTTCACCAGAATAGGGGTTTGTTTTGGGGCTCCTACCTTTCTGGGTGCCTGTCCCGGTCGATGGCAGACATAGAATGCTCCCAATCACAAGGGGGGTTTCTATAGGCCATTGCTCCTCGTGCCTCTCTGAGGGGGCCAGGTTCTGGCTCGTGGTCCCCGGTAGGCAAGAACTCCTAGCACTTTGACTGATGCCAGAAAGTTATACATATCCATTCAGCCTGGATAGCTCCGGGGAGCTGACGGGGCTCCCCCCAGAAAAGCTCTTGAAACAGTTAGTGTAAATCACAAAAAAAAAAAAAATCCAGAATCTGCCACACAACCTCATCAGTAAAGAACAGGGATGAGAAGATATGAAGTGCAAAAGCAAAAGAAAGTTCAAGTTGACTCCTTACACTGCCTCAATAATGTCTAAATACAAGAGTTCTTACATTCTTGTAAAGCCACTAGCACGCATAGCGTTTGGGCAGGTCCTTAATCCTCATTTCCCCCCAAAATACGACCCGCCAAATTGTTTAACAACCAGGTACCTATTTACTGCTGGTGAACAGAGACTACAGAACAGGTAAAGATTGGTCCCCGGCCAGGATACGAACCCAGGCAAAAGCGCTCGCAAAGTGAAAGGGAAGTGATTTACCACTGCGCCAAGGGGACTGTATGACATGTGAGATAAATGTTAAAAAACTAGCTACTGCATCTCGAAAAAACAAGATGAACAGAATGGGGAAAGAATCGGCCACTATTAAAATATTAACACGCTCAACCAGTTCACTTGATTCCACTTCGAATGAAGTTGAGAGGAGAGGAGCTCCTGATAGACAAAGAACTTAGTGCTAGCTCTAGCTAGAGATGCTCTAGGCAGCCACAAGGGGCTTTCCCCAGAAATATGAAGAGTATAGTATGTGAACTTAACTCGTGTAAGCATAATCCAAATAATCCATAATGGGGAGCTGCAGTAAAAAAGAAATCCAAATGAGGAACTGCAAGAATGCCACCTTTGGAGAAAGAGTCAAGAGAACCCAATTCAGGAAATCAAAATATACAAACAAAAATTAAACCACACAAAAGATTGGTACCCAAGTCTGGCCACACAACAGATATAGCATTTACACTGAAAGATGTAGAACTTTAGCCACCAATTGTAAATGATCCTTATAAAAAATATTAAGAGTATCTTTAAACCTTTCTCTGAATTATTTGTTATGCAAGTGGCTTACCTGGAGGTAAACTATGGGAATGGTGATGGTAATGATGATGAAGTTGAGACCTTGGGGTTGGCAGGAGTCCACAATTGTCTAATAGGGCATCTCCCTCAGGCTCTGTGCCCACACTTAAACCACTGTCACAACCCTGCAGAGGACAAAGTACTTTGATAAACTAATGAGTATAATCATATCATTCCTTCCAAAACACCATTTTAGAATATTTAGGTTAGACTTTATTTGCTAAACGTAAAACATTGGACATCTCTGTAAATGAGTTATCAAAGTTATCTACATAAAATCAACTAATGAATGGTCCTTAGTCAGATTCTGAAGTCTTAACACCTATAGTATATAAGTATATACAGTACATTATAATCATTATCCCATTTTCCAGATAAAAAATGTAAGTTATATAGGCAAGTTATTATTTAAATGATAAATGTTAAGAATATCATTAAACCTATTCATTATTTCAATCACAAATCTAACATACAGCATAAAGAAGCACCAGACACAACCCAGTAGTCATCCACAGCAGCATTCCACCACCTCATAAAACCAGGTGTACAGTGCACCTTGTAAATTGTCATATTCATTGCTTACAATTACAGTATATTCACTCCCTTCTTACAAACCAATTCAACCCAGCCTTGTCCTTAACATATCTTGCGTGCAGTACGTACTCACTCTTCCAGCTTCCTCACACACTTGCTCCCCCTCCCCCTCCCACTGAGAGGAAACACCTCATAGTGGCAGAACGTAAACGATGTTCCAGAGAATATAGACTCATTCTTCTCAATGTTTGCTGATGATACTAAAATTATGAGAAGGATCAAGACAGAGGAAGATACACACAAGATAACCTGGAATGGTCTAGAAAATGGCCACTAAAGTTTAACTCAAGTGTAAAGTAATAAAATTAGGTGAACAACGGGAGTAGGAGGTTGAACACAAGGTACCATCTAGCAGATTAAATGCTTCACGAGTCAAGAAGAGAGAAAATCTGGGAGAAGATATCACACTGAACTGTCCCCAGAACCCCCACATTAAAAGGCATATGCAAGATTGGATATCATCAGCGGTATATGCCCACCAAGAAGTTCCTCTCATTCTTCTACCACATTGTGCAACACATTTCCTTGGCATCCTTAATTATTTAAGCAAAAATTTCTTGCATACAATTCCCCCCCCCCCCTGTAAAATCACTGTAGCTCTCTCATAGAAACAATAAATAAATTCGTTACACAAGATCTTCCAGATCGAAAAATCATACTGTCGTTATATAATTTTTCTCTGGGTATTTTACCCATTTAGTTTTACAGTAATTATTTTTTCCAATATTTTTCGGTCAAAGGTCCCCCCCCCTCCCTTTCTGGTCCGTTGGCAGCTTTAGAGGGCTTGGTGGGCAAGTGCCGGAGTGTAATGCTCAATGGGTCAGTCCTCTGTCCCTTTGAAGCCTTATGCTCCTGCTGCTGTCTATACCAATTCTGCCAGAACTCTTTTCCTTTTCCTTGTCTTTCATTTTTCTTCCCCCCTCTTCCCCTTTCTAACTGTCATTGCCTGCCGACCTTTTGCCAGTCTTGATTATTCTTTCAGACTACTTCTGTTTTGATGCCCGGGTGTTTGGGGAGGCATACTCTCTTACCCGTAGAACTGAAGTATCCAACGTCTCGAGCGAGGGGACCCTTTTATTGTTAATCCTCCTTTCGTCGCTGAACCAATCTCGAAGGACTAACTGTTCTTAACCACTTAACTGTGCCAACCGAGTATTCTCGATCGACGGGAAACTACGCCAACCGAGAAAACTCTTTTTGATTTTTCGGTACCAATTCTAAATGTGTACGAAATGGACTCTTAGGACCTCCAGTGAGAGGCAGCCATCTTGGAAAAAATTCCCAGAATGCCCTAGGGCTGCTGGCTGAGTTAGTACTGAATGAGCAACCATGGGTGGAGCACATGCCTCTGGCTCCCAAACACCTGTCCGACGCGGTGTTGAAAGATAACACTCTGTCGGTGAAATTCAAACCTTATTGTTTGAAGAACATAAGGGTCATAATATTGTTGAAACTAGACGCAATAAGGACCTAACACAAAGGTCGGATGCAAGTGATACAACACTAATGAGGACGATACAGCGAGCGTATCCAGTTGTAGCTCTGAGTGTCACCCTTGCAATCCAATGCTATCTCCAATTTATTTAGACGATACATAGATGAATCGTTTTCTGCGTTCAGTGATGATGCATCTGATACAAGTAGCAACAGTGTTAGCGGCTTCCATGGTGGTGTTTTGCATAGATATTTTAAAAAATACCTGAATCTCTTCCTGACTGACAGACACTCTTTGAGGCTAGCTGAATCTCTTTCTGACTGACGGACACTCTTTGAGGCAAGCTGAATCTCTTCCTTTGTGGGACCATATAAAACAATCTTTTCAAGACTACCTTACAAATTGATCTTTTCCTATAATCTTTTCAATACTTTGCCACAATCCTAATACTTTTATGCTTTACAAGCTTGGCTACATACAACCTACAAGTACTAAAGCCAAAGGTGTACGTGAGTGCGTTATTTGCAAGCACACAGAATGAAGAAACAGGAAGCAAAAATTTATCTGTACCTGGTGCACTGAGAGCGAAGTCGCGCTGTGTACCATGGACTACTTCGTTGATTATTACTCACTTCCGAAGTACTGAGTGTGTAATACAGTGTGTTACTGTGTAAATTGTGTGTGAAACTGTACATATTGTAATTTTAGTGAACTTTTAACAGGTAATATTGCGACAATAAACATTTATTGTGGACACATTACTGACACATGTATTACAGTTCTATGGAACATTATGAACGTTCTACTGTGTACATATTGTAAAGGACACAAATATGCATCATATACGACAAAAACAAAAAAAATGACCGCACTGGAAATACATAAAACAAATAATTGAAAATATATTTGTGGCAACACCCGGTGCTTGAATGGCCCGCGAGACCATGTCTGGGCGATTCACACACAGGCAACCAGGCCCTGATGACGTCACAGCACACCTTGTCTACTTCCCCACAGCCAAAGTAAGTAGAATTTGGTATTTATTTTTACATAGACATGTTCAGGGAAGGGAATTTATCATTTTACGAAGAAAAAAGATTTTTTTGGGCACACTTTATTTCATGCGCATCGGGGGAATTTCACAATGAACTCGGCGCAGCACGGTGGTTAAGGTGGCGTTTGTGGGGTCCGGCAAGACCAGCAACATGTCTCTTGTTGGGTATCCTATCCTCTAATTGTGGTTCCGTGGTGGGTACGGGGGGCACCTTTGTGAAAGAAAGTATTACTTCTCGTTTTCATGTCGCTGAATACTGTTCCTCTTATGACTTCCCAGGCTCATGGGGTGGGCGACCAAGCCCCGAGTCTGTGTTGGAAGACCGGACTCTGTAGCCCCCGCTACACTGGACCCAGACCCAGCTCCTCCTTTGACCCTCCTGACTGCTTCCCCCGGCTCCCATCCCTCCCTCTGTGGTTGGGTTGGGCCATACGCCCCCAGCAGTGACCACCTTATTTCCCTGGTGCGGCTCAAGTCTCTCATTGTGATTAGTGCACCTTTTAACCCCTCTTTGGGGATTCTCAATGCTGTCCCTGCCACGGCCGCACTCACATGATCCCTTCCCATACTAATACATACCAAGCCTTGTTTGGTCCTGCTTTGTGGGCTGAATACTTTGATCTCCTCCCTCTGGATTCTACTACACCTGACGATTTCTCACTCCATGAACACCTTGTTGATTAGGTGGATGCCTCTATTAGTTTTAACCTCAACCCATTTAGGTATGTGTATCGTCGCTGCTCCTTCACCGAGTGCAGCTACCCGCTTAGCCGCATTGTCCTGCATTGGGGAGACCCCTGTTCGGGTCTCCAAAAACGCTCGGTTAAATGCCAGTGTTGGCACTGTTCTCCTCCCGCACCATGTTGCAACTGGTGTTAGGGACCTAAAAGACTGCCATGAGGATATTAAACATATCCTCGAAGCCCAAGGCCATCCTGTCCTCCAGGTGGATACATTCACTCGACCCCCTTGTGGTCGTCGCCGTTAACCCCTTCGAGTTGTGAAAATCACCTTCGATACTAGGTCCCTTCCACCCTTTATCATTCTTGCTGGTGCCAGGTGCTTCATTCAGGAGTACATTCCCTCTCCTAGACTTTGTAATAAGTGCTGGAAGTTTGGGCACGGTGCCCTCATATGCTCAAGTCTTGTTTCTCTAAGCCCCATGTGTGGGGACAATAACCCCTCTAAGACAGATTGCACATCTCCTCAGGCTCACTGCCCCAATTGCAGTGAGGCCCACCCTACATTCTCCCCCACGTGTATCCACTACAAGCTTGAGGAAGTAGTCCTCAACTTGAAACACCTGGATCGTCTGAATTTTCCTGAAGCGAGACGCCAAATCTGCTGTCTCCACCCTTTCACTGGCATATCTGATGCTCATGTGTTGCATTCTACCTCTCCTTGTCCTTCCCACCTTCCTCAGTCTTGCAACCGTTTCCAGGCCTTGGACCCAGACACGCCCACCGCTTCCTCCTCTGTTCCTTTACGTTCTGTCTCGGAAGGCCTTCTTCCTGATTCTCCTTCTGGAGTTTCCCCTCTTCCTACCCTGTCCGCCATGTCTCCTGTGTCTTCTTTTCCTTCTCCCCCTGATCCTTCTTCCCGACCCTCCCCACAATCTCTTGGCCCTCCATGTCGCCTGTCTGTCCATCCAGGCTGATGTCCATCATCCTCCCAGCAATCTTCATGTTGTTCACTCCCGTTCTTCTTCTCCTGCTGAGATCATAAGAGTTTGTCGCCCAGTACGTTGTTGCACCTGTCCCTTTGAGTCAGAAACGTAAGCCTGGCTCCTCTCCTTCCTCCTCCCCAGTGGGTAAGAAGGCATCACTTTCTTCCCCCCCCCCAACTCTGACTCTATCACTACATCCTCTCCCATTTCGGTGGTCAGACTCCCTGTCCCAGCTATGGAGGTTTCTCTCCCCCCCCCCCCCCCCCCCCCGATTCCTTTTCGGTTACTGCCCTTGCTGAGGTGCACTCCCGGGTTTCTGCCCCTCCCCTCCTCCTGCTGTCCTTGACAGCCCCTCTCGGTTGTCTCCCCCCTCCTC